GGTGCATACGCGCTGGAGCCGGGGAAGGACGCTTGTAAGGATTGGGACTAGCGGGTGATCATGGAGGTGTGTGGGAAAGCGTGTCGAGGACGATATCGCCAACCTGGAGTATGCGACTACATTGTCATAGACGAGCGCGTTCATGAAAGGACGTCTGTCTTGTTATAGGTGCTACACATTAGACGGAACAACGAGACGACGTCGAATTACACTCTGACGCTTTCAATATCGCTGACGTCAAGACATTGATCAGAACGAGGTAATGGAGGCATCATTACTGAGCCGTGCTTTGAGCAAAGCGAGTAAAGCGTAGAAATGCAGGAACAAAAAGGTTCATTTGACATGGGTTTCTGCCAGATCAATCCTGCATACATCACTACATATTAACTATAGTATTGACGAATCTCTACAATCCGCGCCGATATCATCTCCTCAGCACCTCACAACCGCAGACTAAACCGTAGAACAGTTGCAAATATCCATAGCAAGATACCAACATGTCGGGAAAGAACGAGCAAGGAAAGATGGACGTTACCCAAAAGAACGGTTCGTAACCTCATTCTACCAAATCGATTCTCAATTGCCAGCTAACACTTCTCAGTACTCAATGCTCCCCTCCACAAACACTCTTCCGAAGCCAAGGCTCCTTCGAATCTTCCCTCCTCATTCAGCGCTGGAATGTGTACCAGTAAAAATCCCATCGCCGCTATCCTCACAAACGGATTCCTGGACTTCTCGTCCTCGAATGGCACGGATTTGCGAAAAGCTGGCGTGGGTCCAGGCCAACGACTGTGCCTAGAAGCTTCAACATGGAAGAGCGCTGCGGATAAAAGTATTGGAGAGGTACCGAGAGTAAAGCTAGAATCGACGCATGAAGGCGCCTTGAAGAGTGTGGATCTCAATACACTAAAGAAGTGGGCGGCAGAGCAGGAGGTCCAGGGGAAGACTGTGCTGCCGGGTGAGGGCAAGGAGAAGTTCGCGAGGGAGAGTTCAGAGATTGGAGGCAAGGAACCAAGGGCTTGATGCTTAAACAAAAAGCCGTTACTAGAACTAGAGAAGATGACGCTTCCGTGGTAAAGGAGTAATTCTGTACGATAACAGTAGATGGAAAACAGCTTAAACTTGTTACCCCACTGTGGCAGTGCTAGACTGCCTACTAGGATGAAACTTAAGAGGGTTATTATGTACATCAACAGTTATCTAAGAATCTACATTAGCAGTAGTTACGTTGCTACTCCTTATAGAATATTATTGTAGACTGTAGGTTTACAGCAGATTCAGCTATCTCTGGTAGTTATTACCCCTCCATACACTAGAACAACAATTTAATAACTGTCGCAAAATACAAGCTACTTGAGTAAACAGTAGTTACGCCTAAGGGCGACATCCTTTTCTTGTTTCCCTTAGTGTGGAGTAGCTGCGAAACCAAGTTGGCAGTGATGTAATGAACTGCATTCAAACCAGTCAGGAGATGTTACTCTTCTTGATACAGACTTTCAAAGTGATTTGCATTCAGCAGTAAGCGTGCATGTTGAAATTCGGGCAGAAGGCGCCAGGACGTGGCTCCGCACCTGGACTGACTTTACCAAAGGACACCTAATTTCATCATTGCCGAAAGGATCCTGGTCCCGTGGTTGCGACCCTTATTTAATGTAGGTTTTGCGGTATCTAGAGGTACTGAACACTGGCAAGGGATAATGTTGCGCGGTTCAGAGCAACGTTCACAGATAGGGAGATAAAACCGATTGTGTTAACTAGAACGTTAAATATAAATACTAATTGCTGTGTCATAATTCCTCTTCTTTCCGTACTTTTCAGACTATTTATAGAGTTTACCAGGTCGAATCGTCGCACATAAGAAACACCACGAAAGCGGAAAGCGAGAGCTAGGCCTGGCATGGGGTTGAAAAACTGCACATGGCGAGACCTAGCAGTACCACCCGCCATCAATTGGCGTAGCCGTCCCAGTCATGAACGAAGAAGCGTCTGATATCAGAAATTCGATAAGTGGTGGAATCTCCGTTTGGTGTGCAGTTCTTCCAAGTGGAAGGAATGAATAATCGACAGGCCCGCCTCGATTTTCGTACGATTTTCGCAACATTGGGGTGTCGACTGGTCCGCTGTGCGCAGTTAGTATGTACATACCTCAAAAAGAGTTTCCGTGGGTCTACTCACGGGCAGAAGCAGTTCACCCTGATATTCTTTGGTCCTAGCTCTTTTGCCGCGCTCCTTGTCATTCCGACAACAGCATGTTTGGAGGCGCAATATGCCAGCTGTTTTGGCGCGCCAATGAGACCCAGTATACTGGCTGCATTGACGATAGAACTTCCTTCCTTCATGTGCGGCACCTGAGCGCGCAAACAGTTCCGCAGACCTGTAACGTTTACTCCCATAATGAATTCCCAGTCGTCGTCCTCTACCTCTTCAATGTTGGCGACAGCACTTTGCCGACCAGTTACACCTGCGAGATTGGCTGCACCATCCAGCTTCCCGAACTTCTCGACTGTGTTTGCGATCCAGCTTTCCACGTCGGCACGTTTGCTGACGTCGACAATCTGGATCATGACTTGTGCACCGGCTGTCAGAAGCTCGCTTTCAAGATCTTTCAACGGCTTCTCCTGCACATCGGCGAGTGCAAGCTTGGCTCCTTTGCTGGCGAAAAGACGGGCGGTTTCAAGGCCCATTCCAGACGCCGCTCCAGTAATTGCGATGACTTTATCCTTGAGAGACATGATGACTCTTACGTTCGGAGTACTTTGGGATTTGTATATCGCGTTGGAAATCCGTGGTTGGTTGGGGATTGACAGCTGTACTTAAAGCTCCCTTGGGATAGGGCCACCCGAGATTGAAAGAAACAGAACTAACAGAATCTTGCCTACTTGTAGAAACATCTAAGTGAGCACATGGTGTGTCGTGGTCCGGCTATCTGAGCCTATTGGAACACCTCATAATGCTTCGGTCCATTCAATTGAATGGAGAAAGGAAGTCCTTTTCCGGTATAGCCCTTAGAGTGTTCAGGTGGCGGTGAGGTGTGAAAGTTGTCAACTACCTAGATAAGTACTGCCCTTGCATTATGCAATGTGCCCGCAGGCGACGGTGCGAAACTTGCAACACTGGGAGGATAGTTGTCGTACATCACATTGCGACGTTGTAATCCGCTGCAAGGGATTGCGATCCCTTAAGAGCGGCTTACGTAGCTCCGCAAAAGTAGTCTGGTGACGCTTGGGGCGGGGCGTGAATGCCCATGACTCAATACACGATAACCTCGGGAGTGCCTCCACCTGTCGACCTGCCGACCCCTTGGAATTCCACCTGGTTTTGATATCCATTCTGCGCACATATTTGGTTACGCTGCAGTCATAGCAGGTCATATGTTTCCATAGCGTGTTCATCCCCACCACTAGGTTGTTTGGAACGACGACAAATGTTTCGATATGCGACAAAGGGAACATCTCAAAACGTGGTCGCTTCCTAGCTCTTGTGATGATGATACAGTCGATTGTCTAGTAAGAAGAGATGTAGGCACTCGTTGATAGGATCCCTGTAGCATCAAGTCCTTGATGCTGAGGCATATTGATTACTACACCATAAGAATGGAATAGTCAAGCAGCACGAAATACGCTCCCGGCCATGGACTTCACATAACAATATTGACAGCTAGAGAAATTGAAGTGACGCGTTGCTATATCTTCTCACCGTCCAGCATAGAAATATGGTAAGCCTCAAGGTCGAGTTGTCCGTCATGCGAACTTCGATTGTTGCAAAGATTCAATACGCTGGCGTAGCAGTCTTGCTCTCTATCCTCGGCGCCGCAGCTGTGGATAGAGGCGGGCCAGAAATCTGTCAGTATCAGTTGGTAAACTAAAACGGATTCCGAACTGACTTACCAAGCGAGCAAGCCACCGAGCTGGGTAACCTACAGTCCACCACCCGTATCAAGCACCACTATAACGACCACATCAAGTATCACTTCATCGCTCGAGTCTCTTTTGTCTCCCACGGCCATATTTAGCACCATTCCTCCGGCCTGGTCCAACAGCTCTTCCATAAGTGCGGCAACCAACCCAAGTCTCGTTCTGGGCACGACCCTAATAGCCTCACCTTCGCCCTTCCCAAGCTCGCCATCATACACATTCTCCATCGAGATAAGCAACCAACGCCAACACGTCGGCCGATGGTACGGCCGTTATATATCTAGCGACTTAAACAAGTTACTCAAGAACCGCTGCGATGACGACAAGATAGGTGCCAACACGTGCAAGACTTCAAAGGAAAAATTCGATAATATCGAGTACTCCAATCAAGCCGGCATGGTGGAAAAAGGCATACAGTTTGTGGAAGTAGGCGTCGAGAGTGACTACATTCCCGGGAAACACGAAGGAGGGGTTGACTACAACGGAAAGTCGCTGCAGAATGCGTTCATCAGCCAAATCGCCTACACGTTTCAGCTTAGTGGTGAGGACGAGAAGAACTGTTACAGATTCGATCGGAGATCGACAATGTGCACTTTCTGCAAGATCTGTATTCCCGATGGAAGGGATCGCGTGATAAGGTGGTGTAATGCACACGAGTATGTTCGAGTAAGCGTCAAGAACGGAGAGGGGAAAGAGGTTGCGCATATGAAGGCTGTGCTCAAATTTACGGGCACAACGGACAAAGGGAAATTCGATTGCATGGCCATCAAGGAAAGTGTGGAGAGAAGTGCGCGAGATGACAGGGTGAGGGAAGTGAAAGAAGCGGTTGGCGGGAAAGAGGTCGAGGCTAGAGCGACGTGTTCAGGGGATGAGGTCACGGGAAACTGTCCTAATGAGTGCCTGTATAAACTGGGCCCATGTTTTAAATAATTTCAATGGAGATGTCTCTGTCGGATATGCACAAGGTCGAGGAGCGGACATGTAGTGTTGGAGAGCAAGGGTTGGTGATGGCCCCTGGCATGACGCAGCAGCTCCGTCGGACTCCCGAGAGATATCTTTTGGTGGGGCACTGACTTCTCCCACGAAATGCAATACGCGCCCGTCACACGTATCACTGCCACGTCGGTCACACTCGCACCTTGCTCTTGTTTTCGAAAAAACGTCCGTCACTTCACGTCCTTCAAAATAGGTCGCAAACACAAAGCGCATCGCCAACAGGCGCAGCAAAACAAGCCGTGGCGCAACGCGGAAAAAGGTCGCAAAGGCAAAGGCAAAAGAGGCAGGATGGGCCAAGATGAATCGCGGGTGGTAGACCCTACTGCACCACCCCAAACCCTAGAAGCACGTACTTTGGAGGCTTTGGCACAATATGTCAAGGATGGGCGTGCGCAAAAGATTGTTGTTATGGTGAGTTGAGACGCGATGGGACGGTTTACCGCGTGCTAACATCGGACAGACAGGTGCAGGCATAAGTACTTCAGCCGGCATACCAGACTTCAGATCACCAGAAACCGGCCTATACGCCAACCTCAGTCGCCTGAACCTGCCATATCCCGAAGCCGTCTTCGACATCGATTTCTTCCGCAAGACCCCAGAGCCCTTCTACGCGCTCGCTCAAGAACTATACCCCGGAAAGTTCAGGCCGACGATAACACATTCCTTCATAAGCTTGCTGCATCAAAAGGGGCTGCTGTTGAAGCTGTTCACACAGAACATTGATTGTCTGGAGCGCGAGGCTGGAGTCCCCGGCGACAAGATTATTGAGGCGCACGGCAGTTTCGCATCGTGAGTGCACTCGCGAGGATTGAGTTTAGGCAAATCTGACTAGGCATAGGCAATGTTGCATCGACTGCAAGAAGTCGTATCCCAAAGAGCGCATGAACGAAGCCATCCGCGACAAATCAGTGCCTCACTGTGTCGATTCGTCCTGTAACGGCCTCGTCAAACCCGAAATCGTCTTCTTTGGGGAACAATTACCCTCCGCCTTCTTCGACAACCGTAGCCTCCCCGCACAAGCCGACCTGTGCATAGTCATGGGCACGTCGCTCAGCGTACACCCCTTCGCTTCGCTGCCGCAACTTTGTGAAGACCAAACCCCGCGTCTGCTTATAAATTCGGAGAGGGTTGGTGATATGGGCCAACGAACCGATGACGTGCTGCTACTGGAAGATTGCGATAGTGGCGTGAGGAAGCTGGCAGAGGTCTGCGGGTGGCTGGGTGAACTAGAAGCGCTCTGGGCTACCACGGCACCGGTATCTGAAGAAGATCCAGTGGCGCCTAAGGAAGAAGTCAAGAAGAGCCACGATGAGTTGCTGGAGGATGAAGTCGAGAAGCTTACGCGGGAGGTGGAGGAAAATCTGAGGTTGAATCAAGCAGAGCATGAATGGCTTGATAACCACGTCGATAACAAGCTGGCAAGGAAACACGAAGAGGTTCAGGTCGGAGACCGTTCTGCGACTGAATTCCAACCAACTGTCGATCCGGAATCTAGGACAGGTCCAAGCGAGTCGAAAACGAACCCAGGAGGTGGTGGGCTTGCCCATGTGTTTCCCCACATGAACAAGTCATCGCTCTAGACATGGCGTGGTATTGGTGGATAGATTGGATATAGATACACGATCTCACGATCACGAATCACGATAGCGTTGTATGCGAGGCAACAAGGCCACCCGTTCCAGAAAGCGCGCACTGACGCCTGCCTAAATCCTTATATCCGAGTCTGTATCTTTCTTCCTCCACACCCGGACCTCGCCCTCAATCTCTTCAAAAACACAAGAATGTCACCAATCACCGATCTACCTACCGAATTGCTAGAGTACATAGTCCTCGATCTTGAATCTCGAGATGCTGTCAATCTGGCCCAAACATGCAAGACGCTCCACACTGTCGCTCTACCAGCAGCTTACAACACCATCACCCTGCTTTGGGACAACACAAGCGAAGACGACGAAGACGGAGGGACTGTTGACGGCCGAAAAGGACCCAAGATACAAGCTTTGGTTCGCACATTGAAAAAGAAGCCCCAATACATCAACTGGGTCAAAAATCTGGAATTTTATGCGGAGAATTGTCTAGAGTACAATTTCGAAGACGTCCTTGGCTATGGCTTCCCAAGAATTGACTATGATATGAAAGATGAAGAATGGATGGACGAGATGTTCAGTGTCTACGCGGATCCTAAAGACACATCGGTTCAGTGGCCCGAGTTAGACGATGAGCACGCCAGGCACATGTTGGTCGCGCTGTTGATTGGTATTTGCCAAGCTCGTCTCGAATCTTTGACCATAGCATGGGAGTTCTTCCCATTCAATCAGTGGTTTCCTACGATGATGAAGCATGGGATCGCGAAGAATGCAGCAGAAGATGACGGACCAAAGTGGTTCGCTAACTTGAAAACCGTACGCGTTGAGTTGGAAGAGTCGGATATGGCCGAAGCGTGGGGACAGAACTTTTTGGAACCGCAAGGCACTCTACTGCTTTTCTTCTACCTGCCAGTGGTTGAGTCGCTCCAAATTATTGCGTGTTCGGAGAGAGACGACTATGGCAACGTAAGCAGCGAGGAAGAGGGAGTTGATCTCTCATTTGAGTGGCCACTAGAATTACCTCCTGTTCCGCATACACTGACTACTCTGCGCCTTGTTCGCTCTTCAATGGATCCACTCACCATTCATCATCTGCTCAGGCAGGCTACGAATCTCAGGGTCTTTGAATACGACTGCTATACACACCCACACTTCGCGCCTCTACAGTTGTCGATTTTGAAGGACGCACTGCGACATATTCACTCTACGCTTACCAATCTAATTGTGCGCTACCAACACTACAATTCCGAATTAGCATATAACCCTGCACGTGAAACTGAAAACGCAGTGGGGGGCAGCCTAGGTCCTTTGCACGATTTCCCCGTGCTCACCAACTTGACCATATCTTTTCCAGTGCTGTTTGGTACCGAGGCCGTTGCTCTAGACAGTACACCTAGTCTTGCAAATTTTCTTCCCGCGACCCTAGAGACCTTGACGATTACGGACGATCTCTGGGAGTACGAAGATCTACAAGGGAAATTCGAAGACGTCTATGCCATGGCTTTCTTCCGACAATACCTTGCTGGTGAAAGACCGAGTAAGCCGCTGGAGAGATTAGAACCGTACACGCTTGAGACGACCAGGGGGGAAGTGGATCTAGACAAGGTAGAGAATGGCGTTCTTTGGGTCCAAGATCGGGAACCGGAGTGGAAGGTCGCAACACCCCGGTTGAAGAAGTTGACATATGATTTGACAAAACTGTGCTGTGGGTACTGGCATTTGTCGAAACCTAGAGAGCAGCTAATGGGGTTATGTGAGAGCCAAGGGATCGAGGGAGAAGTTTTACTATGGTCTCTTAACTCATACCACAATTTACAAATTTATGGGTGGCGTTGACGAAGTAGTAACATCATAGTCTAATAGACCAATTATCATACAGTACGAGACGTGCTAGTAGTTCGTTTTCTGGCGATCATCTGTTCGAGCGATTAGTGCATATGTCCTTTTCTTTATGTTTTGGTTTTCTACCCATAATCCCGTAACCCTCAATCAACATAAATAGCAAAACGTGTACTCACAATTCGCGCCCATGGCTTTTCTAAGCTTCAGCGTTACTGCCTCTTCATCCAAATCCTTCTTGTCGCCTGTCTGGATCTCTACAGCATAAGTGCGGATGACCTGCTTGACCTGTCCACTCTGGAAACTCATCTTGGCCTTGCGCATCACCTTCGTTTGAGGTCCTATGAACGTCTTAGTCATCTCGAGATATGAACGAGGAACATGACCAACCTTGCCAAACAACAAAAGCAAATTTGACGCGTTCACTGTACTCGTCATTCCCTAGCTTCATGCGTACATAGGCATAAGCAGCTTCGTCGTCACCGAGGCTCTCCGTCATCTCGGCGATGTCGCCGCTTCCTGTGCCGGCGAGTTTGAGGTTATCTGAAGTTGCGGATGCATACTACATGGTAGTCAGTGATCTCATCGTTCGCGATCCAGTCGATGCTTTCCATTGATGTCTGGTCGGACGATACCTCATCAACGCAGCCCCGGAATACCATGTACCTTCAAGATAAGCCACGTGGTCTCGGATTTGTCTGAACGCACGTCTTCGTATGCCTGCGCAATCTCAGGGTCGTTGAGAATATCGGATGGAGCGGGCATATTGAGAAGCAGCTTTTACTATCGCGAGCTGTGGAAGGGCGATAGCAAGGGTGAGGCGAGGTGGAAGGGGAGTTTTGAGGAAGTTGGGATGGGGTCCCAGGGTCCAGATGCACGCTGTACTAGCTCAGGCTAGTGCGGGGGAAGAGAACCAATGGTGTCTGGGTCCGTGTGGATCTGGGATTTTGAGGTTTAGGGGCGCGCGACACCTTGTCCTTCCACACCGTCCCTTTTGATCACGCTCGTCGTCGCAGCTGATGACAGTTATGCAGACACTGGTGGGCTAATGCTGCTCAAGAACTGTAGAGTTCGCCGTATCGACTGCGTCCAAGCTCCTCATATGTATCTTCTGAGTATCCTCTATCCTCTAGATCCGTTAACCGCACGCAGCAAATCGTTAGTCGTCGCCATCCATAAGCTCTCTACTTTGAGTCTTGCTCTTTACTCCCACAAGGCACTAAATATACTCAGCAAATTGAGCGATAGTTTGGGTGCATGGTCCTGCGGCTTGAATAGTTCCTCATGCTGTGAAATGACTTGAGCGTCTTGGGCGCTGTCGGGTATCTCGGTGACGTCGCTTTTCTTTAGGTGCCATCGGAACTGAGCCCCACTACGCTCGGAACGAGAAATTTTGGCCTCTTTTACCAGTCATCATTCCAAGGTTCTAATGCGCACTCGCCATCCCCGCATACCAAATGTCAACCTCACGAAGCCCTCGCTCCAGCTTACCCCTACACGTTCCTTGGTGCAAGTCGCTGCATCAGAAGCCCGCCGCTCTCCGGTTGCCACGCTGAAAACGCCGATTCTCTTCTTCACGCCTACAACTTTCAGACTCGGCAGGCGAAGTACGCCAACCGTCTCAAACATACGTGATCGCCTCCTCGCAAATATGCCCGAGACTAGCGTTCAACGCGTAGACCCTCAGAAGTTGGGGAGGATCACGTTCCAGAAGTCGGAAGACTTGATCGATGAATGGGACATACAATACGACGACGCAGAGGGTGATGCTGATGCTGGAACGCTGAAACAGGCAGCCCATGAGCTTATGAGCACGAATACCCCCGTCGCGTTTCCCACAGAGACTGTATATGGACTCGGCGCGGATGCCACAAGAAGCGCAGCTGTGAAAGAAATATTTGCCAGCAAAGGACGACCAGCGGACAATCCATTGATCGTTCATATACATTCGCTACCCCAGCTACGAGCGCTGTTGCTCGGTAAGCTTGACTTTGTAGGCGACGGAAAAGATGCTGGAAAAGACCCTATACCAGAAATTTACAGGCCGGTGATTGAGCGCTTCTGGCCTGGACCGCTCACCATCATATTGCCGGCTCCTGAAAACTCGATCCTCGCTCCAGAAGTCACAGCAGGTCTTACTACCTTTGGCGCACGAATGCCACGCTCTATCATCGCCTTGTCCCTTTTGCGGTTATGTGGTCGTCCACTTGCTGCACCCTCCGCAAACGCGTCCACGCGACCTTCGCCGACCGCTGCGGAACATGTCTACGATGACCTCAACGGGAAACTCAATCTGATAATTGATGGTGGGCCATGCGAAGTAGGTGTAGAGAGTACGGTCATAGACGGACTGTCAAGTCCACCTGCAATACTGCGGCCGGGTGGTGTCACGGTAGAGCAGTTGCGACAATGTCCTGGGTGGGAGAACGTAGTCGTTGGGTACAAAGACAAGCAAGCGGAAGATTCGAGCAAACCACGCGCACCTGGAATGAAGTACAGGCACTACAGTCCGAAAGCGTCGGTGCTGTTATTTGAGGCAGGTGCAAGTCAACCCACACCTGACGAGCTGAAGAGTAAAAGACGCATTGGTATTATTCGGACCAAGAGCTGGGATAGTGTGCTGGGTATAAGCGCCGAGAAGGTGAAGACATCGGATGCGGGTGGTCCGGTACTCTGCGGTCCACTGGACACAGTATCTTTAGATGTCAACGACTCGTCGTCGCGCCTTTCAAATCTCCTGCGATCTGTCGCTCAACACCAAATACCGCATGCAGATCATTACGTCGTTAAGCCCGAAGCTGTTCAGGTGTGGGAAATCAATCTTGGCGCAAAAACAGAAGACGTTGCGAGAGGCTTGTTCTCGGCGCTGAGAGAGCTTGATAAGAAAGGCGTAGAAACCATCTTTGTAGAGGGTATTGACGATAGAACAGGTGATGACATTGCGGCAGCAGTCATGAACCGGCTCAGGAAGGCTGCTGAGATCAGGACGTGAGAGAAGGTTGATTATAGCGCATATGATGATTGAACGAAGAGACTTCCACTGTGCATCGTTCACGCCCCACTACTGATTGCTGTACGTCAATGTCCCGTAATACAAGACGTGTCCGCACATCAATGAACAATCAAAGGATGTACTTGAAAAGTGTGAACGTCTG